CCTCCTGCTTCAGCAGAGCCCCGGCCTCCCTCCCTCCTCCCCCCGCAGCCGCCTGACTCGAGCAAGAGGCGGGCTCGGGGCCGGGGCCGCGGCTCTCCTGCCCCTCCGCAAGCCTGAGGCAGGGCGACGGCTGCCGCTGCTGGCGGGAGCAGGAGAAGCCCGCCGGAAGGGACCCGCCCGGTGTCCACAGGGGCTGCGGGCTCCAGGGAGCGCAGCACAAAGGCTGCGAGCCAAGCCCCAGCTTGGGGGACCGTGGAGGCGGAGTCTTGAAAGCCTACACAGAGCTCCCCCCCGCCAGCACACACACTGCCCTAGCTGTGCTGCAGGTTTTCTTGCCAAGAGGGCTTGATATAATAGGCCCACAAGCCGGCATGTCAGGGGATTGCCAGGGTGAACGAAAATGCAGCCCCCTCCTCCAGCCGGCCACTCCTGGCATGCTTTTGTCTCCTCCGGGGGGTGAGAGGCTTAAAACTGGAGCAGTGCCTCGGGAGGGGTGAGAGGAGGGCCCAGAAACAGCTCAGACTAAAGGAGGTGGTGGGAGAGCAAAGGGAAAGACAGGATGAAGGCTGGAAGAGAGGAGCTGCAAGGCAAGGGAAGGATGGCTGGTCTCCAACCAGTGCTGGCCTTGCAAAACTGACCATTGCAACGGCTGGCATTACTGGCAGTAGGCTCAGGACTGAAAGAATTGCTCTCTCCAACTGAAAAGTGTCCCCTCCGTGCCAGGATTTTAATCTTCATGGTTGAATTTGGGCTTGTAGGTATTTCTGCTGCTTGCTGAATGCAGTGTGTCAAACACCTACGTTTGCAGTTAAAGGGCTCTGTCTACACCTCCAAAATGCTCCTAACATTGACTCAAGCTACCTGAGATCACATATCCCTCCATGGACCTGATGGTTTCCTTCTACAGGAAACTGTGACTGCAGGAGCCATTTACTAACAAAATGTGTCACTGGGAAGGAAGGGAATTAAGGAGAAAAACATTATTTGCCATGGGTACGCCATACGTAACAGAATGCCAGCTGGTGAAGAAGGGGGATCAAAATCTCTCTTTTACTGGAAATGTCACAATGGTGCAACTTCACATATTTTTGTTCCAAATCCAAACACTAAATTCCACATAACAAAAGTTTGGGGGAAATTCACATCACTCTAAACATTTTGTTCTGAATTTACTTTAAAATTTATTTTTACACATGAAACACATTTTGAAATGAAAATCAAAACAATACCTTTAAACGGTGCCAAAACATTCTCTTCTTACAATTTACTTAATTGCTGCTTTTTAAAATGTTATTCTCTAACTTAAAGTAGTAAGGCAAAACCATTATACCATATGAGCAGCAGCAGCTAGACAGAACAAGTATACACTAGGAATCTCAGTAGAAAAATGGTTGGATTTTTTGGTGGTGGGGAGAGTAGAAAAGTCCATGTGCCAACTGGCAGACCACTTGCTGAATCCCAGCAGAAGTCTCAATAAATCTCTCAGGATTGTGGTTCAAAACCTCAAAGCCAAGAAGGGGCTTGTAAGATATGTTCCATTAGTGCTAATGAGCTGTATGTAGGTTTGAAAAAGAATATTTATACTTTTCAAAGGATGATTTAATCTCAATTTTTGCTGGAATGTCTGCTTTGTTAAAGGAAATATGATTATTTTTGCCCAAACTATTTTTTGATTGTATGTGGGGGAGAAAGCTGCTTAAGTTGTCATTCAAACAAAACATATTAAAAAGCAAATTCTTCCTGCTCCACTTGGTAAATGAAAACACTCTCTCTTATCTACTTTTAATTCCTTTGAATTGTTTCCCTAACAGCTTGACATTTTTATGCCATATATTCATCATGATCAGAACTCTGTGTGTGTTGTTCATTTTTGCCACTCAGAGCATAGCAGGCATTTTAAATTGTGTCTTTCACAGTTGACTTGCATTCCTTGAAAAAAACTCTTAGTTTCATGCTGTCAGTCACTGCGTGGTGGCTTGGCGGATGCTAGCTGTGCATGCTTGCACCTGTTTTCCTTGGTTATGTAATTTGGGTGCCAATCCTGTACTAGATCTGCCATTGATTTACATAAGCCAAAGGATTGGATTTCTGTTTTTCTGTGACCTCTTGCCCTCCTGGGCCAAGTTATCCTTTCCCCCCAGCTTCATAAATTGCATGGCCATTCTTATGTAAGACCTCATGAATTTGAATAGAAGTCCAAGTCAGGAGAATCAGGTTCTGAAGGATACATGCAGGAGCCTGACTTTAGGCTCCTTAAAAAAAAACAAAACAAAAGCCAAAAATATTGGTCATAGTTGTTCATATTTATGGCCACGCTGAAGAGTAAGCATGACGTACCTAATGTTCAAATTTGACTTTAAAACTAAGCCATTAGAAAAACATGTATGCTTGCTATTATTTGAATGGTTCTAGGTCATTCTTATAATAGTCCTTTTCTTTACATGAAAACACAGCCTTTCTGTTACTTCCCTTTTTCACTAGATTGCTTTTGAGAATGGAGCAATAGGGGCGAGCATGATAGTAGCAATGACTAATGGCAGGAAGAGCTAAGGAGCTGTCCTACATAATAATGTCACACTTGTGATACTATATTTACTATAGAACCTTGATAGTCTGCATAACTTAATATTCACCCTGGAAAAAGTGCCTGTCTCTTTCTCATTAAAGATTTAATAGGAAAGTACTATAGTAGAAACCTCATTACTAAGAATTCACTAACTTTACAAAATAGTGCATGCTACTGTTCTAACTGGTAGTGCCTTATTATTAAATAATTAATAAAGCATAGCTGATGATGTAGTCTTTTATTATTATTTCACTTGATCGTGGTCTGATCAAAATTAATGATAACCTTAACATTCACTTTACTTGGAGCAAAATTACAATTTGTCTAACTTGAAAAATTTGGAGGGCAATTTTTTCTGCTGGTTTAACTAAGTACAGCTACTTAGACTAAAATGCAACTTCATTTGTTTATGCTAGGAAAGAAACTGGCCCAGCTGTTTTCAATGGCAATTCCAGCAAATGGTAGGAACTTTGAGAAGGTTGAATCACGGTAAGTATATCTGAACCTGTACTTTCAGTTACTGCTATCTTCCCCCAAATTTATTTGACAACAAAGTTTCTATGGTTGTTCTTTAGTTCAAGAGAAAAGATTTCTGCAAGTTGTAGAAGTGTCCATTTATCAATACTGAGCTCTCTGAACAACAAAAACCTTATGAATCCAAAATCACTTAGATGAATCAATCAAATAATACTGACTGGAAAGTTTTAAATCTGGCGTTTGTAGTTTCTAGACCAGGGGTGCTCGACTCCAGCCCACCAGCTAGATCTGGCCTCCAGGCCAGTGTCATCCAGCTGCCAGGGCTCCCCACGGGTCTGGCAATTTGACGGTGGGGGAGGGTGACTTCACTTCCTTGCTGACAATTTTCCGTGCCTGTGGGGAGCCCCACCAGCCACATACATTGGCTCTGCATGATGGATCAGGCACACAGGGCAGCATGGGACCCGATCTTGGCATGGGGCTCAAGACCCCAATCTCAGCACGAGGGTGGGGGGTGACACAGGGCCCTGAGGCCCCATCTGTGTGGGCTGGGTAAAGGCAGCTTAGGGGCAGATCCTGGCACAGGGACTCAGTCCAACCTGCTGACCATCCTTTGCCCCCATCTGGCTGTAGCAGGACCAAGGACCCAGGTGTGACTATGCTACCCCTTGGTGGCCAAATAGACACTGCCTTAACCTGATTCTAGGTACCCTTACCTTTGCTTTCTCCTGCCAAGCCTTGATGGAATTATTACATTGTGAAAGGAGAGCTGCCTTTTAATCCTAGAGCCAGTCCTTGTCCTTCCTCTGCCAACAGATCCCCTTTCAGACCCTACTAGCCCAAACTGGATCTGTCCATAGTTCAGCCTTCCTGATCCGTGTGGACCTTGAGACACCCGTTGCCTATAAGGGCTTATTATGTGGTTCCAAACTGCCCCTTACACCATGCCTATGCTTCAGAGCTGCTGTTTATCTGATCGGTTCCTTGTAAGGGTCTCAGCCCACTTGGCCTCTGCCCCTTTTCTCTTGCTGGGCTGCTTAGCTCAGGATCCACTGGATTGGACCTGGCTTCTGGGCCAGCCTTAGCTTTGCCTTATTGGGCTCTGGTTTAGCCTGTCTTGGGCTTCAAGCTGCTGGCTCATTTCTGTCTCTCTGCAGTGTCCGGGTGTTGGGCCCTTGGCCCCTGTCTCTGGCCTTCTTGGGCACTGGGCCTTCTGGCCCTAGGTTCTGCCCCTCTATGGGCTTGCTTCCCTCTTGGGCACCTGACTACTTCTTGACCCCGCCCTCAGTGGGGCTCAAGGGAATTGCATGCCCCTAGGGCACTAATGGGACCTCCAAAGCAACCCCCCACAGTCCTTGCCACAACCACCAGTGAAAACAGTAAGTTACATCCTGTTGTCTTGCAGCATGGCTTCTCTTACCCAGGGGTAGCAGGACCCGTATCATGTTCACAGTCCTGAGCATGGCTCTGGGGTCAGCCCAGCATCCCCCTGCAGCCCTCCTGGCCAGGAGCTCATCATCCTGAGGCCTTCAGGGCTAGACTCCCTGGATTAGCTCAACCCCAGCTTCTATGCCGTCTCCAGATGTAGTGTGCTCAGAGTCTATCTTCCAAATGGATGGAGGGTTCTTCAATCTGGGACATTTTTGCTCAAAGACTAAAGCACTCAAAACAACCATCCTTTATCTTCAACAGGCTGATAACTGCAACATCCATGCATGCACTGAGGAAAATCACCAGTCTGCACTGGATTTCTTTGCAGAAGCCTTCCAAATGTTGGGCCCCTCTCTCAATATCAAGAAGACTAAAGTGCTCTATATAAGCCTGCTTGGGGTCATGAATGTGACCCTCTCTCCAAATTATCATGGAGAGAAAGACCCTGGAAGTACTTGAGAACTTCTCCTACCTTGGTAGCCCCCTCGCCGACAGTGAACATTTGAGGAG